AGAGAGAGAGAGAGAGAGAGAGAGAGAGAGAGAGAGAGAGAGAGAAAACTGTTTGGGGAACAACATACAAACATCTTCCAAAATACTAATGATGATGACACACACACGCACAGATTATCTGGGTACCTTTCTCAGTCAGTACTTCTATAATACTTTCGGTTTGAAGGATTTCTGTGTGAGGTCTCTTTACGTATGTGGATGTGCGCCGAGAGCTTGTTGCCGTCACTGCTGGTGTCTTCGCGCTGCAAGATTTCTAATGATGGACTTTTAAGTAAGTTTCGGCCCAGAAGAAGCCAGTTTATTTCCATTTTTACTTTCTCGAATGAACTTAGTGGTATCCATCTTCATTCCAGACCTGTAATATTTCCTGCGCCACTGGCAGCCACACACTCCATAGCATAATATTTACGCCCTGCTGCTTAACAGTTGGCGAGGGGCTGTGTTCATCAAATGCTGCACCTTTTTACTGCCCAAACACTCCTTTGGGGATTGTGACCAGACAGCTCATTTTAAACTTCATTTATCCTGCAGAACTTCCTCCAAAAAAAAAAAAAAAATCTTTTATAGACGGTGCTTTGCATAATTCAGTCAGACGTTTTTGTGATGAAGCCATGACTCTGGTCCTTCCAACTGAATCAATCTTGTGTCAGTAAAAACTTCCTGGAACTCACTTATATTCGAGAATAACTTGACTTCAACAGATTCCCTTAAATTACATTCCCTTTTCTTTTTTTTAAATTTATGCGCATGAAAAAGGAAAACATACTGCAGATAACAAAACACTTCTAAATACTGTTTACAGTTCAATGTAGAGATGAGTAAATAAAGTCCTATTGCAGAATATTCATGAGCTCATTATCTTTGTTAGACACTGTTCCTTTTTTCATTCTGAACCCTACTTGCTCCAGTTGCTTTCCCAGAGATCACAATCACAAATTAGCCCAACTCCAAGGCATCTGATGCAGAGTATATTTTATGCTAAAATTAAAACATGAAAAATGAATAAAGGTGCACCCAGACCCTGCCAAGCTTTAGTGGCGCACTCAGGCCTAATGTAGACCGTTCACCGGCATCAGCATTTTATTCACTTTCCACTATTTCCTGTTAGAAAATAGAAAAAAAAGGCAGCACTTTGGCTAGAGGAAATGAAAACACCAGTACAGAGATGGTTAGCCGACTCATCCTTCACACATACCCATGCAATCTCCCAGGAGCCCTGTTAATGTGTCAGCCTGAAGGGCCCTCCTCACTACCCTCATGCCCTGTGCGCGTGCGCGTGAAAGGAAGCGAGAGCTACAGACACACAGTGAAAGTGGATGATGGATATCTACTGGTGCTGACAAGATGATGAATAGCCACAAGTCTCGGTGAGTGTTTAGTGGAGAAAGCGTCAGGTGCGGAGAAGGCGGTGCCGTCATTTGTAGTGACACGGTCTAAACAGACGCGCAAACACATTCTCGGCATTTAAATGCGTCAGTGGCGAGTGGCTCTTTCTCTGGTTGACATCATTATAGATTTCAAGTCCGAGTTCATGCATTCCTGAGAACTGTGATCAGTTTGAAAATATATTTTGTAGAACAGGTTTCCCAATTTAATTAAAGCCTGATTTTGTCCCCCAGCAATTGCATGAAAAGTATAGTTTTAAGAACTGCCTGAGAAATGAAAGAGAGATTATTATCTGTGATCCCCAGTGCCTGCAATTAATCACACATATCAGTGCATTTTCCCCCTGGATTTAGTTGAGACATGATATGGCATTTTACACAGCAGTGAGTTCTCCTAGTTTGGTGTTTTTCTCACCTCATCTCCATTCGACATGTTTGGAAAGAATGGTCTCTGTGAGCCACTCTGTACTGGCAAGCATCTGTGTTGAAACTCGCTGATGCTTGTGGCCAAGCTTTTTCCAAAAATACAAAAAAGTGTAAAATGAGAACAAAAACAGAATGCAAAGCTATATTTACAATAATAAATTAATGAAAAGAATACAAAGACAAAACTGAGATTTTTAAAAAATATTTTAATTAAGCTCACTTTGCTGCATAACTGTATTAGCTCTTCTTTTTAAATTATAGGCCATTTGCTGTATCAGGATATCAGCAGGTCAGTTCAGTTTTCCTCTTATCATATTTCTTTGCTTCATAATGACCCAGGTCTTCTGTGGATAAGACTGCAGTCTGGACTGCAGGAGTCCTAAGTAGCAACCAGACATACTATACTGTAGCACCACGAGTTTCAACCAATGCATAATAGTGTTTGGTGAAACAAGCAATGAAATAAATCTCTCTAAAATAGTGTGTCCCAGTGGCGGTATACTTTCACTGTGCCAGCCTCTCTCTTCACATGGCGCTTTTGCCTCCTGTGAGAGTCCTGACACCCCTCCCCCACCCATCACCTTCACTCAATACCAGGTTGAGATGCAAATGAGGAGACTTCACTCAGGCAAGTTTGCTGGACCAGACGGAGTGAGTCCCCTTGTCCTCAAGACCTGTGCCCCCCAGCTGTGTGGAGTCTTTCATAAACTGTTTATGCTGAGTCTGAGTCTGCAGAGGGTCCCAGTGATGTGGAAGACATCATGCCTCGTCCCTGTACCAAAGACGCCACGTCCCAGTGGCCCCCAGGATTACAGGCCCGTGGCACTGACCTCTCACATCATGAAGACCCTGGAAAGGCTCATCCTGGACCAGCTGCGACCTATAGTAAGACCACATCTGGATCCCCTTCAGTTCGCTTATCAGCCTCGTCTCGGAACTGAGGACGCCATCATCTACCTGCTCAATCATGTCTACACCCATCTGGACCAGCCAGCGAGCACTGTGAGGGTCATGTGTTTTTTGACTTTTCCAGTGCTTTCAACACCATCAGGCCGACCCTCCTGGGTGATAAGTTAGCAGCGATGCAGGTGGATGCTTCTCTGGTGTCCTGGATTGTTGATTACCTGACAGGAAGACCACAATATGTACGTCTCCCACAGTGTGTGTCTAACAAGGTGATCAGCAACACAGGGGCACCACAGGGGACTGTCCTCTCCCCCTTCCTCTTCACCCTCTACACCACAGACTTCAGCCACTGCACAGAGACCTGCCATCTTCAGAAGTTTTCTGATGACTCTGCGGTGGTTGGATGCATCAGCAGGGATGATGAGACAGAGTACCGGGCTGTGGTCGACTCCTTTGTCACGTGGTGTGAGCAGAATCATCTGCAGCTCAACGTGGCAAAGACCAAGGAACTGATCGTGGACTTCAGGAAGACCAGGAAACACTTGACCCCTGTTTCAATCCAGGGGGTCAGTGTTGACATTGTGGAGGACTATAAATACCTTGGAGTTCACATTGACAATAAACTGGACTGGGCTAAAAACACCACAGCACTTTACAGGAAGGGCCAGAGTCATCTCTTTTTTTTGAGGCGACTGAGGTCCTTCAACATATGCCAGAAAATGCTCAGGATTTTCTATGAGTCTGTTGTGGCCAGTGCGATCCTCTGTGCTGTTGCATGCTGGGGGAGCAGGCTGAGGGTCGCAGATGCCAACAGACTCAATAAACTAATCCGTAAGGCCAGCAATGTTGTGGGGATGGAGCTGGACTCCCTCAAGGTGGTGTCGGAGAGGCGGATGCTGTCCAAGATAAAGACAATGTTGGATAACACCTCCCACCCACTCCATGACATGCTGGTCAGTCACAGGAGCACGTTCAGTGAGAGACTGAGATTACCGAAAAGCACCACTGAACGACACAGGAAGTCTTTCCTGCCTGTGGCTCCCTGTACAACGCATCCACTTAACACACTGTTTGCTGCTATAACTACACGTTTCTTTTTCTGCTATTTATTTATGAGTGACTTATGTATGTATATATATGTATATATTGTACTATTCTTAGTTAGTGTATTGTCTGTCTTGTCTTAATGTTGGTTTATAATGGAGCACTGTAACAAAAAATAATTTC